GGAAAGGGGAGAGAGGGAAATGTACTACAAGTGTTGCTAATTTTCATTGGAAAGGGCAGAGAGGGAAATGTACTACAAGTGTTTGTGTGATTTCTACCCTATTATCATTCACCATATGTTTTAGAAATATCATATAATATTGTCTTATTTACAGTTCTTTTAAATATTAAATATAAGTTACAGTTACACGTGTTTTCTAACTTTAAAGTTAGATTGAAACAGTCTTATTAAATGTCTCCAGTGGCACAGTAATATGTCTGAAGGCCTAAAATCCGGGTTTCGATACTCACGGTGGGCAAGACATAAATATCTCATTGTGTAGTTTTGTGCTTAACTACAAATTCTTACTAAATTTTCTCTGTCTTAGTTTATGTTCTGCCTAAGACTTTATTTTATGATATATTTGAAAGGTTTTGAAACATTATGTAAATATTTGTGTAGTACAGAATTTAGAATTTTAATTTAATATGTGGACATCAAATTCTTTAGACAATGTTCTTGCAATAACTTACTTTCTGTATTTCAGGTGCGAATATCTCTTTAGGCCCTTTCTCGATTCTGTCCATGTTCTGGAAATTGCTAGAACAATCATATCGGTCAAATTATTTAAATTAGTATACTTTCGAAGTTCAAGAAATATAAGAAATAGACTATTATGGGATTAAATTTACATTTGATTTGATATGCAAGTATTAATGAAATTTGGATGAATTTATGCAATTTCTAAGCATTTTATAAAAACATCTGTGGATACATTACTGGAGTGAGATGAACAGTATTATAATTAATTACTTCAACAATAAGAAATATTAACATTATATAACTCAATAACGAACAATATTAACATGATATAACTCAATAAAGAACAATATTAACATTATATAACTCAAAAGCTAACATTATAAATAATATACTTATTTCACAACGAACAATATTAACATTGCTAACCTAAAAATAACAACACTACAAATAATACTTATTTCACAACGAACAATATTAACATCGCTAACCTAAAAAAACAACACTACAAATAATACGTATTTCACAACGAACAATATTAACATTGTTAACCTAAAAAAAACAACACTACAAATAATACTTATTTCACAACGAACAATATTAACATTGCTAACCTAAAAAAACAATACTACATATAATACTTATTTCAACAACGAACAATATTAACATTGCTAACCTAAAAAACAACAACACTACAAATAATATGTATTTGACAACGAACAATATTAACATTGCTAACCTAAAAAAAACAACACTACAAATAATATGTATTTCACAACGAACAATATTAACATTGCTAACCTAAAAAAAACACTACAAATAATACGTATTTCACAACGAACAAAATTAACATTGCTAACCTAAAAAACAACAACAATACAAATAATATGTATTTTTTGGTAAACAATCTTAACATTGCTTACGTTAAAAATCAACATTATAAATAATACTTATTTCATGGTGAGAAATATTAACTTCAAAGTTTAACTTTCTAAATATTACTATCTTCATGGTGAGAAATATTAACTTCAAAGTTTAACTTTCTAAATATTACTATCTTCATGGTGAGAAATATTAACTTCAAAGTTTAACTTTCTAAATATTACTCTCTTCATGGTGAGAAATATTAATCTCGATAGATTGAACAATCACAAATTTTACTTTTTTTATGGTGGAAAACATTTTTGAACCTGAAAAATGTTCATTATACTATATTGTGAAAATTATTGATTGTAATGTAGAAAGAGAAGCTGAAGAACATGGATGTTGGTAAAGACAAGCAAAACTGTTTTGTTTTTAGTGTTCTGCAAAGAAGTTATTTGTTTGAAATCGTTATAAATTTTTTCTCAGTTTGATGAATTGTGTAAATGTTTGAAGTACATTACTTAAACCTAATTATTTAATTTATTGTTTACATTTCTAACAACAACTTATATGTTTTTATTAAATCGGATTATTTTGTGATGGTAAGAATAGTAAGAGCTAATGTTAACCAAGAGCTTTCTCAGTAATGTAGTAAAATAACTACTTTAAAGGTGAAAAGTGTTGAAACTAGCTACTTCAAAGGTGAAGAGTATTGAAACTAACTACTTCAAAGGTAAAGAGTATTGAAACTAACTACTTCAAAGGTGAAGAGTATTGAAACTAACTACTTCAAAGATGAATAGTATTGAAACTAACTTCCATAAAGGTAAAGAGTATTGAAACTAACTACTTCAAAGGTAAAGAGTATTGAAACTAACTACTTCAAAGGTACAGAGTATTAAAACTAACTACTTTAAAGGTAAAGAGTATTGAAACAGCTACTTCAAAGGTAAAGAGTATTGAAACTAACTACTTCAAAGGTAAAAAGTATTGAAACTAACTACTTCAAAGATGAATAGTATTGAAACTAACTACTTCAAAGGTGAAGAGTATTGAAACTAACTACCATAAAGGTGAAGAGTATTGAAACTAACTACTTCAAAGGTAAAGAGTATTGAAACTAACTACCATAAAGGTGAAGAGTATTGAAACTAACTACTTCAAAGGTAAAGAGTATTGAAACTCAACATTTTTATAGAAGCTGTAAGATCTTAAGCTTGCTAATTTTCATTTTGTTAACCAAAAAGATCACGGGGGATTTGGCGTTGTTAAAAGTCTAGCATGTTACATCCTATTTTTTAAAGATGTTCTAAATATATGTGTGTTTTACATCCTACTCTTTAAAGATGTTTTAAATGTATGTGTGTTTACACCCCTATTCTTTAAAAATGTTCTAAATGTATGTGTGTTTACACCCTATTTTTTAAAGATGTTCTAAATGTATGCGTGTTTTACATCATATTCTTTAAAGATGTTCTAAATGTATGTGTTTTACATCCTACTCTTTAAAGATGTTCTAAATGTGTGTGTTTTACACCATATTCCTTAAAGATGTTCTAAATGTATGTGTTTTACATCCTACTCTTTAAAGATGTTCTAAATGTGTGTGTTTTACATCCTACTAATTAAATAGTTTCTAAATGTATGTGTGTTTTACACCATATTCCTTAAAGATGTTCTAAATGTATGTGTGTTTTACACCCTCTTCTTTAAAGATGTTCTAATTGTATGTGTTTTACATCCCACTCTTTAAAGATGTTCTAAATGTATATGTTTTACATCCTACTCTTTAAAGATGTTTTAAATGTATGTGTTTTACATCCTATTTTTTAAAGATGTTCTAAATGTATATGTTTTACATCCTGTTTTTTAAAGATGTTCTAAATGTATGTTTTACATCCTATTGTTTAAAAATGTTCTAAATGTATGTGTTTTACATCCTATTTTTTAAAGATGTTCTAAATGTATGCGTTTTACATCCTATTTTTTAAAGATGTTCTAAATGTATGTATTTTACATCCTATCTTTTAAAGATGTTCTAAATGTATGTTTTACATCGTACATCAGACCTATTTGCACCTCTATACCTAGTTTTTTTTTCCTGCGATGAAGTTCAAGATTTAGTGAAATTTTACCTTATTTAAAACTTTAGCCCTCAGTTAGGTACCGTTTATCATTTTCTTGGCTAGATTTATTTGCTAGTTATTAAGCGCAAAGCTGTACAATAAACTACGTGTGTTGTACTCGCCACAGGGATCGAACTCCTAACTTTGGCGTCAAGAGCTCTCAAGCTTACCGCTGAACCATTGGGGAAATATTTCCTCAAGAACTAGCGATGCAGTCTATCTGCTAAACTAAGAGCGGTGTTATATATATATTCTAGAAATTCAATCTCTGACGGGTTTTTACAGTTTGATCTTCAACCTCTGACGGGTTT